GTTTGCCTAAAAAGAAAAGTCTTAATTGAATTCTTAAAAATTTCTACAGATCGAATATTGCGTAATTGCAATGGTAGCTCATTCCATAGATGCGGTGCAGCTGCCTGAAATGCACGTTTACCCAGGGTTGCCAGCATTTTGCCTCTAGGTGGCTCTAATAAAATACCTGAGTTTAATCAATTCAACTGTTATAAAATAGGTGCATAGTACTCGACTAGTTCTCTAAAAGGACGATGGTTACACTCTCTCTCTGGTACTCTGCGCCTATGATGGACTAATTCAATACATGAGCATGGCTATGATTTGGCCACTATTAGAAGGTTTTCTGAGTATTAGATAATTTTTGGTTCATTTTTCATCAACGTATCAGACTTCAGAGAGATTGCATGGAGGCCTGCACTATAAAAGGACTGCATATCCCGAAAGGATTGCCGGTTATGATTCCGTGCTATGCAATTCACCACGACCCAGAGATATGGCCAAAACCTGAAAAGTTTAACCCAGAGAGGTGAGGCTAATCTAATCTAAGATTCACGCTCAACACTTTAGCAAGAAAACTTTTTTTATGGTGCGTTAGAATGAAAACAGTCAATAAATAATTGTTTGTAAATTATTCTTATGCCATGGCCAGCTTCTGTCAAAGCAACAAAAGCATACAGCAACGGAGAGTACTGGTATTCTTTTCTTGATGGAATCAGTGTCCATCCTTCACCAGTGGATCCCAATGCTTTGTAAAGTTTCCCATCATTTCACGATGCAGTACTATCCATATTCCTGATTGATAAGAAATGTTAGGTGTCTAGTCTAGAATACAAAACAGTGACCTGGGTCTCGGCCTTTGCCCACAGTTTTTGAGCCGGCGTCCAGCATGCTGGTTATTAGGTAACCGCATCTTGAGCATGACGATACTTCCATTACGACAGGTTCTCAGAGGCAGAGAAAGCAAAGCGTCATCCTTATGCATTCATGCCGTTTGGATTCGGTCCTCACAAGTGTGTTGGAATGCGATTTGCTTTGCTTGAAGTAAAGCTGACCCTCGTGAGATTACTGAAGAAGTATAAGCTGGAAAAGACTGAGAAAACAGCGGTAAATATCATCTTCTTTCTTTCGTTCTCCTCAGCTGTCCCCACCTACACGTGGTCTCTTTTGTGATGTCGTCTATTTTCTAGGGCTTAGTCAGTTTGCGCGGTTTTAAATCATTGTTTCAATGTGGTCATATGTATATAGCCTCTAACTGATAATTTAACTCCTGCTACGAAATTTATAAGCACGCGCTAGGAGGGAGGCCACCGGTATAGATTCTTAGTTTCTTAGATTCTTATCAAGGAGCATCGTAAATCTATCCACAATGATGTTGGAAAAATGTTTTCCCTTTATTCGAAGATTCACCCTAACGACTTTACGCTGACATTAGTACTATATTCTCCATTTTTGCAACAAGTCAACTTTCCCTTTTAAAACAAGACTTTCATAGCACTATGCAGTTACAAGAAAACGACATTTAACAGACACCTAATAGAATACGCAGGAAAGTTAGCATCTGTGAGACAATAGAGTCTGTCATTCTGAATCTGGTCATGAATCATTGTAACTGTGTCCCGAGATCTAGAATTCAGTTTTTCCTTTGTCTTTTACAGGTTCCAATGAAGTTTGAAGTTATGTTTGTCCTCACCTGTGCTCCTGAGACAGTTATGTTGAAGATTACACCAAGGGACTAATATATGATCATGTTGCGTCCAGTTTTACCTTAGTAAAACCCTGATGACAGACTTCGCCAGAACATCTAAATACACTCCTTTGTCAACCTCAGTTGTCTTTAGCCGGATGTTTTTCACTTTTCTCTAGAAAAATATTCCTTTGAAAATATCTTTCTGAACGGAAAAGCTTCCAGGATTATTTAAGTCAGGAAACTCAACTTAGGTATATCCATTTGATGATGATGATAAGTATACAGTTGCTATGCAATTTTGCTGCCTGAGGCTTGCAAAACGTTTCGAACAAGTCTTAGTGACGCTCACTACTGTGACGTACTAACTTGGCAAACTAAGACGTCCGCAAAAACTAGAATTTACCAAAAATAAAGCGCCAGGGTACCTCAAAATACTGTACCCTCAATGACGAGCTACACGATATTTTAACACTGCTAAACAAAACATTGATTGATAGGCATATAACAATAATAAGTTAGTAAGATTCTAAAGTGGTTCATTCGCCTTTCCGAAGACTTCTGCATGGACGCAATAACAATAATCTTCAATGAGCTCACTCTATCCATTTTGTATCATATATACCTGTATCAGAACTGCGTAAACAACTGTTTTTCTTGTGCCTATTGAAAAAAATGTATGTAGAGCATTACCGCTGCGTTAAGGGAGTTCTGAAATATAATTCGGGTGGCACGAAATTTAGCATGCCTGTTGGCACGAAGAGGAGCGTATTAGAGATTATGTAACAGGATGTTACATAATCTGCAAGCGTTTCTTGCTTTGTCATCTACAGCTAGCGATTTTCTTGCCTAAATAGAAGCTTATGACTCTACATGAAAAGCCTGAGTATGAAAAGACCTTGACGCAGTACGTGAAAACCTTGCGAAAAATCATGGAAAGGTCATGTTTTAAGGATTGACATCCTGGAATGTGTCTGCCGTTCCTTATCACTGGTTCGCTCACAGCGACGAAGTCAATATCGAAGCCCTTAAGCTTATATTTGATTCATGGTGCAGTTATTTACAGCTGATCTCAGTGCTGTGTGTAGGAGGAAAGGTTTGGAATAAAAAAGTGTAGTTACATAAGCAACCCATATACTATCACTTTGTCCAATATAAAGAATCTTTCCAATTTCTCTTTTTTCTGGTCTTGGCGAAAGTCATTTAGAATTGTGACTCATGAATATGAAAAGACTAGGGTGCTTTCGCAAGCAGATTTTTTTTAAGGGATCAAAGGGCAGTTCGCTCGCTAGAAAAAGATTTGAATTTGGTTTTTAGATCTTTGTAAGAGTATGTACTAAAGCTTAGGTTTATGTGGTTTTAAGAAAGAATCAAAATGTAGACGAAAGAACTACCTGAATTAGCACGATACGAAATCACGTTTTGAACGAACAGGCACAATATCCTATGATTGGTTTGGGGCTTGAATTATGTACTTCGCTTAGCAACAAAGTCAACTAAAGCTTTGAAGTTTGCATGAACCGGCAAGCTATTTGTAGTTGATTTCAGCCGTAAAGTGAAGTGGCCGTTGAGATTATATAATCAAAAGAAGTTACATAAGCAATAGGTTCAAATCCACATCCGGCGTAATTTACGAAATTGATCAACTCTAAGAAAAGTTTGTGTTTTCTTGGTATACTACTGAGAAGCTATTGCGTCTAAACTAACTGGACAGTCGATAATCAAGGGACTCGGGTACACTAAAGAGTGTATGTTGTTTAAGATTAAAAATTCTGAGTGAAGTGTTCTTGATCATTGATTCGTGAATGACGTCGGTTCTTTGGAAACGAAGTCAATATCAATGATTATAATTGGCACTTCTGGCTCAAGTTTGTATAAAGCTTGATTCAACCAAAAACATACGTGCAGCTTTAGCAAGTTTATTGTCCACTCTTTTCCCACCCCTTTATTATATTTAACTGGTGGTGCAATGTTTCCACAAAGGCTACCTGTAAAACCTGGTGGTTCCGCCAACTTCTAAACCCCCGGCGTCTGACGCCATAATTCTATTTACTTTGCACGGAAGAGGAAATTATAGGAAAGCACCAAAGCTTCCCTGTCATAAATTTTTCCAAGCTTGTCAAAAAATAGTCAAATGTTAATTTTCTCGGTAATAATCCACTTACAGGGTTATGCTTTTCATATTGGGTCTCAAGTCAGTAGCACTACAGTGCTAAATATTTTACAAAAATCATCTATTTACAGCAGTTCATTTTTATCGTGATGAGCAAATCGTGCTTGTGATTGATCCTTCTAGTGCACATAATCAAACACCCATCACACCAATTGGTATACTCACCTGTCTGACAGTCATGGCCGGGAATACACTGCATGCTCAAATCTTCAATTTTGTATTAAAGGTGAATGAAATTCACTCGGTTGGGTCTGATGCAATTGACATAACTCGTCATGAACCAGGATTTTGTTTCCCTTGGTCGATATCAACACGTTCTTAAATTTTGAATAACAGGAATTAAGTTTATGTAAATAATGGTATAATCTAAAAAGCTCTTATCAACTCTTTTTCTAGCTCAAAGCTCCAGCAACGTTTTCGATGTAAAAAGGAGTCTGACGTCGAGTGAAAAGGGTTCAAGTCATCGTCAACACCATAATATTTTTTTTGTTTTTAGTAATTTGGAAGAGATGCATAGACAAACATGACATTGCGTACTCGTTCAGATCAGTAGTGTTTTAAAGTGTCAGTTAAAAATAGCCTAACTTTTGATTCAGTGTAAACCATATTGTATGTCTAGAGGGTTATTCCACTTCGATACTCTTTGATACTTTAAATAGCTCCAATTGCAAGCGATAGCATGTACAGGTGCCAGATCATCGTCAGATGCTATTTCCGGCACTTACAATTTCGTATTAGGAAATCTAACTCAAAAACGAGGGGATGGCATATTGGGACTCGAATACACAGAATTCTTGAAAAACTACAATTGTCGCATCTAACCTTTAAGTCTGACTCTTTTAAACTTTATCCCAATTTGAAAGCGCAATTCCTTGAAATCATCGACTCCTCGTATGTCATTTCGCCGTTACTTTATACAAGAATTAGATCGTGGCTCGTCCAATTTACAGATCGTAATAAACGAGAATGATCAAACTCGTCACGCTTCTTCATCGTGAAACTTTTTCAACCGCGTTGATGCGGAATTGAAATGACTGACAGATAAAAACCACACAAGCTTTACGTCATATCATACGAGAACAATAATATCGTCCACACTGAACCAATATCAATTCTGCGTTACGCATGCGTTCTTCCATGTGACTCAGCAATTTGGGTGCATTTAATAACGCGTTTCACTTTATTTCAGGCCCTAAAAGCGGTAAGAGTCTCTTTACCCGTACGACCTCATCTCAAAGAAAATGACGACTCGCGACAGAGCATCCGAACAACTTGCTGATTATGCAAAGACTAAGAAGGTAAGTTTATCTTTTACTGACCAAAATAACAAGTTGTTTAAAATTTTGCATCATTTTCTCGTTGGAAACACTTTTAAAGCTGGGGCCGTACTTTTCACAAGAGTCCCAACTAGCAGCTGTTGTCTGTCAGGTCATGTTTGTAAGGTCACTTTTACCGTGTGGATTATTCTTTTTCTAAATGTATCGTCTTGAAAAGCAGCACATTACTCTTCCGAGAAGACGCATTTGAAAGACCGTTGGAGTCCACAAAACAAAAAGGCTCCTCTGTAACATGTACGTTAATTAAACATGTCAGCGAACATGAAAGCGGTGCTTGCATGCGTACGTGACAAAATCTCCCTCGAATGATTGGAATTTCCGTTAGTAATCGTAAAGTCAGGACTACTGAAAGGAATAATAGTCTTTCCATCGACTGAAAAGATAGTTTCTGAAACGACGATGAGGCACTGACGAAATCAATATGCGCATTAAATCATCCAACTATGAAATGCTGAGTCTCTCCTTCGATTGTTAATCCTTTACTCTGGTTACGAAAAGGTTTCAAGTGGTTATTAATAATTACTTTCTAGCAGTTGGGATGCAAACTTGTTTTCAACATGATATGTTTCGTGCGTGAACAACTGTTTTTTATTCCTGACGTAATAGAAGGCTTTTAGTAATCCTGGACATGAGACATCACACGATGTAAACAAATTTAATGCTTGTGTAGAGAAAGCTTTAAATAACAACTCATAAGACCTTTTGGGTTTCTTTGGGTTCAAACATTAGGTTACGAAATGTAGAGATAGAAAAATAAACAGTTTAAAATGACACAAAATCTCTCGGTTACAAAAGCGCTGTAGTATTGTTGCGAAATATCTCGAAATTACTCGGCTGAGGTGAAAAGACTGTGATTGTGGTTAAATGATGTGCTACCCTCCTAACCAACATAATATTCATTTTGTAATCGTGGAATTTCGAGCCGTGCTTTTTCGTTTGAGATATTAATACGGCTGCCATGTTTTAAAAATGATTTATGCATCGTTAAGAGTTCGCTAGTTGCTGCGTCATTTTCTCCGGCAAACCCCGTAATCAATTCAAACAACTTGAACAACAGTGGAATTTGGCTCTTAAAGGAGGAAAATGAACATTACTGATGTAAATATTGGTTTGATAATATGTCAGAAACACTCATTATTTACAAAGAATTATTGCTGCACTACGGCGGAGAAAAATTGTCTGAAGAGTTTTATAAAGCGATCAATATCTACTAAGTTATTCACATGAATTAAGGTTTTAGAAAGTCTTGGGAAAGGCTTAACGAGACAATTCGAACACATGATCGGTAAACAAAGAACTAAAACTTTAACGTTGATATCATGCTTACATTTGGTTTGAAGATGATAATCTAAAAAAAGCAAACTAGGTTGTTTGGATGAACTAAAATAATGTTATTAAAATTCAAAAAGGGAAAATTGAAAATCATCCGGTTCAGTTTGGTAAATTTTGACAAGAAACTAAAATATCACTAATGATGAATGTAAAATTTCGTAAAATTGCTCACTGGAACCTCAATACGCCGCTAATGACGCATATCCTTTGTTAAGTCTGTGAATACTTGTGCAATATCAGCAACGACTTGAATTTTGGTTGTGACGTCAAAAGAGGCACACCAAAAAAATTCAGGAAAGATTACACGGAAATTGTGGGGCGACTAAGACATCAAGAGACAAGGAAGACGCTAAAAAAATTGCAAAGCAAATCTATATTGTGTCAAGTTTTTACACCACTCAGCCCTAAATCATGGACTCCGAGGCTAAACAAGAGCGTGCTAATTGATTGATGCTGAAAGAACAGTGTTTGCGCTCATTTGCCGAAAAACAAAGCCAAGAGAGTCTTTCGGTCAAGTAAATGGCCCGGTCTTAAATTAAATCTAACGACTACCTGTCGACCCACAGTGGCTCTGACCATCTGTGACATCACAAATATTGACCAGCGGGTATTAAATGATAAACAGAGTGACATATCTGTTATTGTTCACCAATCAGCTAACGTCAAAAATAATTCAAAGCTTTGAAACATCACAAAGATTCGACGTAAGTGGATTTTCCAAAAACTAGCTTCGGCCGATCTTCTAGTCTAGTGAGAAAATGGCAAACAGAACAAAAGCATCTGAACAATTAAGCGACTATTCTGCGAAAAAGAAGGTTTGTAAAATCATTTTCTCCCGAAACTGCAAGCTCATAGCAGTAGGAGTGATGCCAAAAATATTGACCGCCTACGTGCCTGGGAATGCGAATAACTCCGTAAGTTAACTAAATCCGTAAACTGTCGAAACAGTTCCCTTGAGAAAGGAAAATTTCGGATCAGTAGCTGGCTGAGAGCAAATATCTTCTACAGCTTAAGGGAAATTTTCCTCCCCGAACCTTTTTCAACGAAAGGGTAATACGCTGGAATCAGTCGCGATAGAATAAGTTGCCTCTCGTCCTCGATTGACTTGCACTCAATTACGAGAGTTCAAACTCTCTTGCAAGGAAATAGCGACCTCAAAATAAGCCTAAAAACAACGTATCCCACTAAACTGGAAACAATCGTTACCAACCACTACGTGACATAAGAACAAAAGAGAAATCTCACGAGATAAATCGCAATTTAGTTTCTTTCGATTATATTGAAATTTCCTCGGTAGAATCTAAAGGATTGTTTGTGCTTTTGTTAAAATGCATCTACTGTCAGTGTGTTTCTGCCAAGGGTTAACGGCTGTAGTTGGAAGAAACGGTCGTGACATCTGTATGCGTGTAGCCCGGATACTGGAAGCAAAGGGTCGAACTTCGTCTCTGAGCACCACATTATGCATGAAAGCCATTGGGCAACATAAAAACGGTTGCAAAAACTTTTCAGAGCATTTTCGACGAAACTATTTTAGCTATTGCCAAGACTAAAAGGTCTTTGTTAAAATTTCCATTTGCAACGACACCGACGACTCATGAAAAATCAACGATGCGTCATGTAATTAAGATCATGATTGTTGCGAGAACTGAATTGACTCCCCGATAATAATTGGTCAGCCCTAAGAATTGGTTGAGCTGAAAACCATAAAAAATAAGTTATAGAACTGCAAAGGAAATTGCAAATCAAAGCGCCCAAACAAACGACTTAGTTCGTCTGTGATTTCTTTCGTGCGTTTCACGGTTGGAGGAGCTACACAAGCAAGCCTTCAAACCCCACACCCCCTTCCAAAAATAAACAACATTCCAGTTTTGTTATATAACAAGTTTCAAGTGTTGATTTTAGGATCACGCCTACGAACTCGTGGCACGACATACACGTGACGTAGGATTATTTGTAGCAAAAACTGCCCCACATAGCTATTCAATGGAGCCGATTACTTTTCAATTTCAAATGAGTAATCAGCAGCGGATTACGATTTCGTGCACAACTGAATACTGAGGACTGAAACCAAAAGGTTAACAACGAAGTCACGTTTCATGTTTTGTTCTGTCTAGGAGCGAGATGTTCTCACCACTGGATTTGGGTGCCCAATCGACACAAAGACAGCCACCATGACAGCTGGGCCCAAGGGTCCCATCCTGCTGCAGGACGCGCAGTTTTTGGATGAAATGAGCCACTTTGACAGAGAAAGAATCCCAGAGAGAGTGGTGCATGCCAAGGGAGGTGGTGCATTTGGATACTTTGAGGTCACACATGACATTACTAAATACTGCAAGGCCGCTGTTTTTGATAAGATTGGAAAGAAGACTCCACTGTTGGCTCGCTTCTCAACTGTTGGTGAGCGTAGTTACGAAACTACTAATTCAGTAAAATTTTCCAAGACACACCGGCCGCACATTCCACCTGTTCGTAACATAATAGCCGTACTTTCTCGTCTCCGTTTTAAGTCCTTACAATCTCGTTTCATTCTTTTGGTTGTCAGTCGCATTCAAACTGCTGGTGCCTTGGTTTTCTTTTTGTGTCCCACTCCTTCCCTCCTTTGCTTATGCCGATACACTTTGTTTAGAAAATACCAGATTGTTAGATTAACAAGACATCTGAAGAAGCAACACTATTTTTAACCTTTCAGGCGGTGAGTCTGGCAGTGCTGACACAGCTCGTGACCCACGTGGTTTTGCTGTGAAGTTCTACACTGAAGAGGGAAACTGGGATCTTGTTGGAAACAACACTCCAATCTTTTTCATCAGAGATCCAATCTTTGTAAGTTTTAAACATTTAGTGTGAAAGTTTGCGACTTTTTAAAAAAAGGTTTTCGGTGTAATAATCGTCTTTGTTGTTGTTGCTTTTGTTTTTTTCAGTTCCCCAGCTTTATTCACACTCAGAAGAGAAATCCTGTTACTCATTTGAAAGTAAGTCGTTGTAGTAAAAGGTATCGACATGCACTGCTCTAAGCTACTGATTAAGTAGGTTCAATTGTCTTTTCATCATATGTCCAGATTTTAATAACAATCAATTGCTAGAGCAGCAAGGAAGAGAAACAAATTGAGCGCCCTTTTTGTCGTCTAGGACCCCGACATGTTCTGGGATTTCATCACCCTCCGTCCTGAGACCACCCATCAAGTGTGCTTCCTGTTTAGCGATCGTGGCATTCCTGATGGCTACGAGCACATGAATGGATATGGAAGTCACACTTTTAAAATGGTGAATGCAAAAGGGGAGGCTGTCTACTGCAAGTTCCATCTCAAGGTATGGCTTTAATATCCATTTGTATTCATAGGGTAGGCAATACAAAACAATACGTATACATAAGTCACCTCAAAGTCTTCATGTTGATACATGTATCATGTATCTATGTAAGGAACATTGATTTTGCCATATTAAAAGAAACAACAAATCATCTCACCGTCAAGTTGTTTTCGCAGTCTTGGCTTTCAGTTGAAATCAACATATAACAGTCCTTCAAAGCTTAAAGGTCTGCCGAATGCTGGTGCTGGTATACTTTCAAATGACTTATTGAGTGTATTATTTTACTTATAGACCGATATGGGAGTAAAAAATTTGCCTGCTGATTCAGCAGAGCGATTGGCTGGCTCTGACGCAGACTACAACAACAGGAAGCTTTACAACACAATTGCCAATGGGAAATATGTAAGTATACAGTCAAATGTCTGTTCCCCTCGTGTTCTTTCACTCGCGATTTGTATTTATCATAATCAGTACGCTTATCAATGCGTGTACCGTCATTAGAAGATATAATTTGCTTTTTTCTTTCTCCTCAGCCCTCTTGGACAATGTACCTTCAAGTTATGACGCTTGACCAGGCTGAAAAATGCTCTTTCAATCCATTTGATCTGACCAAGGTGAATTTAATCAGATGTTTTCATTTCGCTACCACTCGATCAACAGAAAAGGATTTTCCCAGTCAACTCTAGAAATTTAAAGTAGATGCAGAGTGTATTCATTGTTTTTCGCTTTTATTTTGTAGACCGTAATCACACCTTGAAATAATGTTGGTATCCTTTTGTTTTCTGTTGGAATATAGATCTGGCCACATGCCGACTACCCTCTGATACCAGTTGGAAAAATGGTGCTGGATGAGAACCCAAAGAATTACTTTGCACAGATAGAGCAAAGTGCTTTCAATCCTGCTTCAATGGTTCCAGGAATTGAAGCCTCTCCCGACAAAATGCTTCAGGTACAACAAAGGTCACCCTAGTAAATCATATTTGTGTTTAAGAGTAAAATCTGAATTTACCAAGTTTAACATGTAATGTTACAGGGCCGTCTGTTCTCCTACCACGAGACTCATCTTCACCGATTGGGAACCAACTACTTACAGCTGCCTGTGAACTGTCCGTACATGACCAGAGGTGGACACAAACACTACCAAAGGGACGGACCGCAGTGCTATGAAATCCCCGGTAAGGCCTGAAGTATTGGATTGTTGATTGTGGCCTCCCTACAGAACAATGGTTTTCTGCGTCGATTTTCAAGTCAAAATGAACCGTCATTAAATCACTGTAAACGAGTCTTTCAGCAATGGAAAGCTGCCCAGCTAGCTTCATACTGTTTTCCAATAATCTAAAAACTAGATAAACGAACGTTTAATCGTTTATCTCCGAGAACTAATTTCTGTTTCGTCCATCGATTTAATGTTTTTCAGAGGGCCCTAACTACTATCCCAACAGCTTCAGCGGACCCAAGGATGACATGAAGTATAAGCCGCACACATTTAAGGTAAGGAAAATAGCAATGACTGACTGCCGACGAGTTCGACCTTTTTCTGGACTTTTTGTCTCCAGACAATTTCACAAATTCATTCCTTTGCTTTCTTACAGATAAATGGTGATGCCCAACGCTATGAGTCTGGGGATGAGGACAACTATTCTCAGGTAGGATTAAACATCTATGTCAACTCGACAACACAATAAATTATGCGATGAGTCTGGGGATGAGGACAACCTTTTTCAGGTTGGATTATAAATTCGGCTTATGTTAAAACATCACCTGACGTCAACAATGTGATTGACTAAGTACATGCATGTGCTTCATTCTCACAACTTTTGAAATCAAAATAAATGCTTCGGAGTTCTATTATTCCTCCCTTCCACACCAAAAACACCAAAATCACGTCCAGAGAACAATTGACAGCTTTCCAAATTTTGGAACACTATTCTTTTCGTATTCCTCCAAACCTGATAATCTTTTAACATTTATTTTCCGTTACTCCAAAAACATCTACGTTTGTAAAACGAATATTCATTTGTATCAATTTAACCCTGAATGTGTAGGTCACAACCTTCTGGGAGAAAACCCTGGACAAAGGTGCCAAAGAACGCCTGGTGAACAGCATTGCCGCTCATCTGAAGGACGCCAAGGATTTTCTCCAGGAAAGAGCAGTAAGTATTAGACCACAATCACTTTCCTTTTCACACTGCGCAACGGTTTAAGTTGATTTTCAGAAGCGTCCAAAGCTCTGAATAAAGCAAGGTGTACAACTATTCAGTGCTTCAGGTTCGGCCTTACGTCGAGTTCCATTGCCAAAAATGACAAAATGAGGTCAAACAGATATGATATAGGGCCTACTCCACCATTTCTGTAAACAAAAGTGCTCTGCTGCCGGAAAATATTTTATCCATCTTTCCCAGTCCAATAGAAAAGTGGACTTAATCATTTTTTCGTTCCAGGTGAAAAACTTTTCTCAAGTTCATGCTGACTTTGGTAACCGCCTGAGGGCGAAATTGAACGAGTACAGAAACGTAAGTATTGTGAAATAACAAATACAACTGATGATAATTTGATAGACGTAAGTCATCCTGTTTTTACACTTGGGGCATTGGTTTATTACATCCGATAAATTGAAGACGTTGAACGATTTAACGAACTGTCATTTGTTGCTTTCGTAACAGCTGTGTCCTAAGGCCCCGTAGGTTTTGCGATAATATTGTTTTTCAGCCCAAGATTCTGAGGGTATTCCTTTCTAGGGTGAATGCAGTGTCAACACTGCAGTAAGCTCCACTAACCCGGTTATAATACCAAATTGCCATTACCTAGTTTTTTCTCACCCTTCATTTTTTTCTTTTTTTCTGCAGTAATTTGATGCACATGTACTCTGAGGTTGTAGGGAGATGACCGTAACAACTGGGGCCATTTCGATCCGTGACATTCAGTGTTGCCATGACAAGTTTTGAGCGTAGATTTTTTTCTAATTAATAACTAATAAATAACATTTTAACATACCTAAGACTAAAACAAGAGAACACATCACTTGCTTGTAAGCAGTGACATTCAGACTTTGGGCGTAGAGTGTTAATAACTAACAAATGATATTTTAACGTGGTAAGACTCAAACAAGAGAACACGTCGCTTGCTTGTAAGCAGTGACATTCAGGTTTTGAGCGTAGAGTGTTAATAACTAATCAGCAACATTTAAACATACGCAGGTTTAAACAAGAGAACGTCTCTTGCTTGTAATCAAAACGTAACATGGTAAGTGGGTTGCAAGAACCCCTTTTGAGATTTTGCATCAGGTAGCTCATAGGACTTTTGACTTGCATAAGTAGTCAGAGGTCACGTTTATTTTCGTTCCACGCACCAGTTTGCTGAAGTATCGTTATCCAATAAAGTTGGATTTTAATTTAGTTTAATGGTAATTGGTAATCAAAGGCGTAGCCAGGGTTTCTACAGATAAAAGGACAACTTCCCTGGTCAAACCGCAACACCCCCCCCTTGAGACTCCCACGAAAGCAGGTCAAACCAAAGGTATGAACAGTAACCCTAATGTTCAGATTTGCTTTGTTCTGTTTTTTGTTTCATTTCTTTGTTTGAGGTTTTTCTTCGTTTCTGTAATTTCTTTTTTCTGGATCATCTTACGTGCATTCTGCTTTTGTATCCGTTCGTATTTTTTCGAACAAGAGAAGTCTAATAACTTTAAGATTATCCCATAAATCCTACTGTACAGTTGTAAACATGATCTGGCAGTCACCCTTAGTAATTTACAAAGCCACATTCAACAATGAAATAGTACCTATATTTTAAATGAGCTGTCGGCACCTCCTTCAATTCCCCTTGTTAATGTTGGAAAGAGTGAAATTCAACTTGGTACCGATTACGATCCCTCCTCAAAGTTAAACCAGATGTTTAACGAAATAAGCAAGAACTGCGGAGTAAAACAGTGGTGCCAAGGGTAAATGATGCACATTTGGAACGTTCTTCTAGATCGCGTAGCTTTCGTTACTCTGAGGTACATGTTCGAAAATAGGTCTCGGCTACACTTCTCTTCGAAGAGGAAAAACACGTTACAGTTTAGGGAAGGAAACGATCGTCTCATACCGTATTTGCAGGCAAAGCACATATATCAAGGCTACGTTGGGATTCGAAACCGTCAAATCTGTAACACGGTTTGCTCTGCCCCATGAAATACGTGTTATCCAATAAATTTGACTGCCCTTAAAGGGTGACTGCCCTTAAATGTGGTAGAGGGTGGCCAGCTTCGCCTAAAATTTTAACGAGGCTATATCAATTTGAACCAGATTAAAACCAAGTCAGTGCAGAGCTTTCGTCACTGTGATATACATGGGGACTCCAGGAAGGCATGCAGGTGCATTGCGATACACTTTCGCTTAATTTTCTTTGCTAAACTGCCTGCATTGTTCCCCTCCCTTTCTCCCATTGACGTTTTCATTCCACACACCATTTTGGCATTGTGTTGTGTGACAGGTGCATGAAGGTGGGCTGGGTTTGGGTAATCATGATGTTCAACCTGCTGCTAGGAGATTGATTTACGGCGCGAACAAAGGTGGCGGCGTCTAACTCATAAGGCATGTCCTACGAATTGAATTGACTCACTCGCGTCAAAGTAGTTCTTACATGTAGACCATACTATCCTGCACCAGAAGTTCATGCTGAGGTTCACTATATTGATTTACCCAAATAGTTCTTTCAACTCTTTGGTAAACTGAAGAACTTCGATTACAGTCGGGAAGCAGAGGTCTGTTTTAACTGAGCTGTAAAACAATTCGGGGCTCTGAAAAAGCAAAATCATCTATCAACCTTCCATTAACTCTGACCTGGTGTTCTACGAAAATAGCACAAATGACCTACACTGTAGAAAGAAAGACATTTAAACCTCTGGAATACTAAAAAACCCGTTTCATTACGATGAGAGAAGTATATACAAAGTACCTTCCAGTTGACGTACAAAAACCGTACACGGACTTTAGTCCGCGGATATCATCTGTTCCGTAAGACAAACACTTTCGAGAAACAGATAATGTTCAAAGACGAATAAATGAACAAACTTTGGTGACAATTGATGGTCACTGTGTAATTACCCCTAAAATATTTTTAACAGCACGCGGAACAAAACGCTTTCAAACGGTCACAAACGCATGTTCATCCGTTTTTTGTACGCCTTAATCAACAAATACCGTATTCGTTTATTGTTTCCCTGTAATGACGGCAAAACGCCCTCCCAACTGTTTGGACGCAAGGGTCAAACATTGGAAATTTCACCTGAGGAATGTCACTGGAAATTCCTTATTTGAGGCTGAGCAGTAATCTATCACGTGACAGGCTTGAACATATCGCGCGAAAGCGCTAATAAGTGACGGATCATCACACTCACTAAACTTGGCTGAAGAATTTATACTAACCTCTTTCCTCAATTCATTGAGCATGTGCAACAGGGGACCATCCAGCTTTCCTCTGACACTGATGCCCTCTCTGGAAACAAACCAGAGATGCATGAACTCCTCCAAGATTTTACCCTTATATTTTCCCATTACATCTTCAGACATGAAAACTATTTCACTTACGACAGTTATTGCTGTGGCCGATTATGAGTAGGCGCTTATCCAAAGACGTTTTTAAATTTGACCATTTAAGAAACTACAACTTACACTGGAAATCCAATATCCTGTAACCATTTGGCGACATCCTCTTTCCTCCATTTTAAAACCTTCTCACTTCCGCTTGCCTTTAGTGGGGTGCTTCCCATCAATTGGCTTTGGGAGGTAGCTGCAAGAATATTTAACATAAGAAAAAAATCACAATTTCATGAAGTCGTACATAAAAATAGAATTCAATCCCAACATAAGTTGACATGCTCAGTTCATACCCGTTTTTACTTTAGAAATTTCCTTCAGAAGCTGTTGAATTCCAACATTCGGCTCCTTCCTGAAGTCCATCCACAGCTTAGCGCCCAGTATAATCCCCAGCCAGCCCTCAGGGTTATATCCAGATTCCATCATCAGTGGAATTATGCGTTTCCTTCTCTGGTAAGCGTATTCGGCCTCTACACATTAACAAAGGTAGCTCAACAGTCAGTACCACGTGGAAAAAGTCAGTACCACATGGAGAGGATTCGCGAAATACATGTCGTTGTGATAACGTTCAATAACATCAGACATTCCTCAAACGGGGGACTAGAGGAAATTTTCATACATTAGAATCTCCAGGATGCAGGTTTCTAATTCTCCTTTATGGCATCTGCCATCCATTGACAAATCTCCCACTAAAGAGAAAGCTCTCCTCTATGTAGATCAGTATCTCTTGAAACTATCTCTCTACTGTGGGGAGCAGCTAAGTAGAGTACCTACCTGATCTACAGTTAGGACTGTTTTGGTATTTTCGTGACATTGCTACGACTAACACAGACGATTTCTCCACAGCTCGAGCCATTGTTTCCAAAATGGATCCTTCCATCTGCTCCACGTCCATCCATACCGAGAATCCTCGAGTTTCGAGCTCCTGTTTCACTCGAAGCATAGCTTGCTGTGTATCCCACTGGTAGCTTATCATCACATGCTCTTCAGAATCTGCCAATAAAAACACGAGGTCAGCCTTCATACTATAGTCAACATCCTTCCTCCCTCCTCCCCGCCGAGGTCGATGCTTCTCCTTAAAAAGTTTAGAAATGCCTTTTGTTTTCAGTTTTGCAGAAACGAAGACCCCATGCCTGTGATGAAATTTGGCCAAAAGAAGCGAAGTGCCCTAGGTTAAGAGCGAGATGGTTGAAGGGCACCATATCCAGTTCATGTTTAAATTCCATTTATCTCTTTTCCTAACGCAAATCGATAGTCTGTTGTTAATCAAATAGGCTTCTGGACATAAGTTAGGGTTAGGGACTAGGTGATCTAGGTGATCAAAACAAAATAGTCTTCAATTTTATTAATTCGAAGTTATACCTAGAAGCGAAGACAGTTCTCATGATTGTCAGCATTAAAGAATTTCAGTCTGTTCGGACTTTTCAAATTCAACTTTGATCCCTTAAGCCATATTCGTCACATTTCCATGGCCATGGCCTGAAAGTGACTGAAGATGTACCTGTGTTTTCGGAGTGTCCCTTCTTTCCGTGTATTTCCCACATTATACCAGACACCGCTTGCAATATTTCCTTATTATCTGAACTCTGCAGACTTTGCAGCGACGACATGGTGTCCCTGTCAGTTTTAATTATTTCCTTGTTCGTCTTGTCGAACGACAACATGTACAGCGCTTTGGTTGCCGCCACTTGCTCTTCCTTGTGTTCCTTGGGACCTCGTAACATGGAGACCAGCATGGGAATACCTCCATGCTGGCCGATCTAGCAAACGCATCAAAAAAACCAAAACACCAGAGTATTATAGACGAGAAAATTTATGGGAAAATTCATAACTTGACGAGAGAATTCCGCTTGAAATTGCACGCGAAAACCGATATCGCACGAATCGCGAAGCGATGAGTGCGATATCGGTTTTGAAGGGAAATTTAACTCGGAATTCACGAGTCAAGAAATGGATTTTCCGTGAATCGCATTATTTAATAAAAATAAGAAAAAAAAGAAAACAGCATTACTTATAGTTGTGATGCATACGAAGATGCAAAACAATGTCACTTACCCTCGTTTTCAATTCTCAATTCCACGCTAAATACCTCGCTTCGTTAAACAATCAGAATGCGAGATCTTATTCAATGATGCGACTCTAATTAAAACATTTCGCAGTTAAGACCTCAACTCAGTTATAAAGAAATATTGGGAAAAAAAATTATCAAGGCCCTTCGTCTATTGAATAATTTGTACAAGTAACAAAAGCTTAAATTATTGAGATTGACCAGCATCTAATTTCTCCTTAAATCATCATCTCTGAATCACAAATGAAGGTCACGTGGACAGAGCTGAATAATATAATGCTACGTCAGAGGATATGCGGTCAACAACGCGGGCTCAAGTGTCCTAGNATGCGAACGACTCAAAATCCGTGTTTCCGCGGCAAAACCTAGCGCATGCGTATACGTTATTCAGCTCTTTCGGTCACGTGAATAATGGAAACGATCACCAACTAAATAAGTTCTTGATTGTTTAATCTCTTTGTCAGCACCTTAGAAAATGTATAGAGAACAGTATGGATAATGTGCATACTGATCTTAGGGTGTAATTTGTTAACAAAATTATCGCTTTTCTTCAGAAAGGCTGTTACTAAAATATTTTTAAGTTGTTTCTCAAGTTCGTATGATAAGTTGTAGGGGCTCATCCTGGTCTGACTTTAATTTATCGACTTGAACTGAACATTCCTGCAAAAGTTATTTATATTATCGATTGCTAGATTATCGACTTGTGGATTTAAATTCTGCATAACGTTACAGACTAACAGTTGCTTCCGGTCCTAAATTAATGTTGAGGAATGATGTCTTACCATCCTCTTGTTCCCATCGTTGGTAGCCACGTGCATCAGTCCATAAGCTATTTCTGCCGCCGAGAATCCCAGACTGCGTCGGTTGGCGGAGTGACTCGCTTTGTCCAGCAACTTCAGAATATCTTTGATCGGTTCTGAAAAGAGTTGTTTATGAACTGATTGATTGATGATGGTAAAAGAAATTTAAAATAATTCTCTTTATTTTATCACAAGAATCCCAGGCGGTTCGGAATCCTAAATCCTTGAATCTGATTGGCTAATTCTGCGCACTCCAGCGATCCGGATTTCTTCATCCGGACTCCGGGTACTGACCGCTCCGAGTTCTACAATCTGCGCTTTTTGATCGTTTCATGAGAGGCTTAAAGATGTAAATATTGTAACAAGTGACTCGCAGTTATGGATTCAGACAACGAAAGCTATCAAAGCGAAAGCGAATTTTATTTTCCCGAAAAGGAAAACGTCCTTTGAGACAAAGAAAACTATGGGAACACAAAAGGCACTGCCGCGGTTTAAACCCGTTTTTAGTTTAAACGTGAGGTATTTGTAATTTAGAATTACGTTGATCAATGTAACTTTCATTCATTCAACTACCTGATTTCTCCAAAATAATTAGTACGCTGTAAAACGTTGAGCGAGGGTTTGAGTTCAATCAAGAATACAGTCTCTTGAATTTGGACATTTCTACCAAAAATTCCACAACAGAAATCAAAGGAATTCAATGGATAAAGCCGCATTAAATCCCCTGGTGTTGTTTCATTCGACTTCGGTTTTTCGGTGGAAAAAAGACATGATTTTCACACGCCATCGCAGCAAACAGACACAACAGACTCTCAAAACTTCAAACATACATTTGAATTACTTACGATGACTTTCCTTGCTATTTAAAACTGAGCAGAATAAATCTTCGACAATAAATCGGCGATGGAAATGAATGATACTTACCGTAAAATCTCTGACTATTTTTTTAAGAAAATAAAAATGAGAAAGCTCAATTGGTAGAGCGCTGCACTAGTATCGCAGAGGTCAGTGGTTCGAGTCCCGTACAGGCCTGATTTTTTTCAGGTCTGATTTTCGCTATTGCATAAATAGCGCTATCTACTACGAGGATCGTGCATCATACGTATCTAATACCGCAGTTCAAAATATATCAACTTCATATATTCATTGTA